AGCCCTTCTACCCACCCCTTTCCCCCTCCACTCCGCTGTAATTATCGCCTCATTGGCACTATCTGTCTAACTACCTCCAACTGTATCACATACCCCTAGGACTGTTCTTATCTGTGGAATCAAGGCTGCTTACCTGCTCATGTCCAGCGGACACTCGGATGATGAATCCAACGGCAACCATTAGTTGGCAGAATACCAACATGAAAATTGGCCTCTCTGGGTATTGGAATCGATCCGTCTCGATAAGGAACGTCAGAAACGTGAACGCTGACAGGAAGAAGCAGGCAAAGGCCCTGAAAATTTACGGGTTTATTAGCTTTCTAGCATTTCAATGCAAAAGAATCTTCTAAACAACTTACCAAATACCCATCCACCCTGAAATCAGCTCTTTCTTGCCGGGACCCTGTAGCGATGGAGCTTCACATGGATAAGAGCAGCGCGAGACGTTTCCAACCTTGAATGAGAACTTATAAAGCAGTATCAACAATCGATGACAAGTTATGGGCAGAACTAATTTCATGTGCCACAAAAGGCACCGCGCGATGTCGCGCAGCTAAGGCGCGCGGCGTCCGCAGCAACCGATTGGAAGAGCTTGCATCGGCATGGAAACCTATGGATGCGCAGAGCTTGTAAGATGGTTTATTTCTGAATGAGAGTGAAGAATGTGCACACGAAAAGATTGAGTCGAGCGCCGCGGGTGCAGCATCTATCGCACGCGCGACGTCGCGCGGTGACCTCTTGCGGCAGTGTCAAATGAAGTAGAAGGACAAGCTGTTAGGCTCAGCTCAGAATTCATGAAGAAACTTTATAAACTGTGGAGCAAAGGTAGTTGGAGGGGGCACACTACAGCAGTACTATGCGACATTATGCCTTGCTTTACATGTCAACGCCTTGGCACGTTTTCTCGGAGCTCCAAGATGGGTACAAACTTTTCTTACATTTATTCGTTGCGGACGCTTAGGTGTATCAGGGAGGGGCGGGGGGGAAGGGGTGACTTCGGCGCGACACCAACTCGTTCTCCTCCAATTGTGGAAGCTGGCAGGCAACAGCGATTGATGGAAAACTGCCTCCCTCCTGAAGCGCTCCAGCGCCTGTAGCGAACAAGACTGCGCACACACAGGTACATACTTTCCACTTTCCTATTCCTACTAGTTTTTCGCCTATAATAAACCGGGAAAACAGCTAGAAAACAATTCTAGACACTATCTCGGTGAGAGGGTGCAGGCAAGCAGGCATGGCTTTGCGTGCTCGAGCCGCCGCGTGTCCCCCAATGGTCTCACCATCGCTCTCACATTGCTGACCGTCTGAAACGGTGGTTGACATGAGCAGTCGCATTGATTTTGTAGATCCTGTACGGATATACCGACATGTGGTCTAGGTGCCGATACCGGTGGTAATTCCTGTAACGAGACAAATGGAGCAAATTAGGGCCAAAAGACATCTGATGAGACAGAGTTCAGGCTAATTACCATAATCTTTGTCTGCTTAGGAGTGTCCGGGGGTGCTGCACAGATGTTACCAGTTGTTGCCTGTTCGCTCATCGTGGGCAGGCTCTCGCACGATAACGTCTCTGGCCAACGGAAACCATACCTGCAAGATTTGGACTTCATTTCCTGGCGGCTAGCCTGTGAACCCATGACCAACTCGGGTTATTTTGCTTATTCGTTCTCCCCCCTAGATAGTTCAAGAAATTTCAGAAAAAGGCACAAAGAAGGTCAGTCCTTTCCCTCTTCTTTGCCTTAGTTCCTTACAAAATATTAACCAAGTACTTATTTGAAAGCAAAAATAGTTTGGTTCTCTGCGGGCTGGTTCCGGGGGGCTGGGTTTGGCGCAACGCCAGCCTAATCTCCACCAATTGTGTTTCGTGCCAGCTTCTACAAACGGTGAAGAACAGACTGGCGCAGCGCCAAACCCAACCCCCTTGAAACGCCCCAATGTGCGCAGCAAACAAGACGGAAACGGAAGTTTCATGTCTCCTTGAATAAGGACATTGTTAGAGCGCATGAGAAGCCAAAAAATCTCTGCGTCTCTAATACTACCGTACTCACTGTTGCATGATCGGTGAGCAGCGCTTCTTGGCCTCCAAGCACAGTTCCATGCAAGGTAATATTGGCCGATCATAGTTCTCCTGACAAATCGGCGTGTACAAAGTACAGAGGAAGAACTTCAGATGTTGGTAGCAGCCGTACTGAAAAGATTCAGGCGTTGGAAAAAGCATTCCCTCACTGGTATACTGTGAAAAACATGCGATAAATACCGTAACCTAGCTTACTGTACTAACCTCAACAAGTGGAAAGAACTGATGAACTTCTAGACCAGCTTCTTCTTGCTTTTCATGGCCATAACTGTTCGGAAATGATGTCATATTATAACCGATGCCTTTGCAAAGAGGTATGGTAATTGGTTGGCAGCCTTTCGTGTGGGACATCGGTATCGTGCCAAAGATTATCAGGAGAATCAGCAGTAGCAGCATGTTGAGTCAGTCAGCTGCTCTGGAGAGATTCTGAAACATGAAGCCCATTGACAAATGCCACAAGGACAAAAAAAGCAAAGAAATTCCGCGGTCATAATGAGGACGATTTTTTACAAGAGTGCTACGAAAAAGGCGATTGGCGACAAGCGACTTTATCCAGGAAATATTGGAAAAATCTCAATTTCAGGCTATTACGATTGACCTGCGGGCTGACTAAGAACACAGCGGCAGCGATGAAGAGCCAGCCAAACGGACGGACGGATGCGGCTGCTAAACGACGCTCTATGGGGATCAGATTTCACATGACAGCACAAAACCACCGATCTTGCCTACACCGCTGTCTCGCCGGGGCAAGGTAAGTAGCAGAGGGACAGACACGAGATAACGACAAATATGTAGGTTGAGTTAGAACATGGAGGGTACGAATAAAAAACTTAGCCGAATATCCAGCAAAGTGAAGCGTTGAGAGCGAAAGGTAGTACCAAGGGCGAAAATAAGAGGCATTTTGCCAAGAAAGAACGTTGCAGATGGCGGTGACGTACAGACAAGACATGCTCGAAGTGCAACTTTGCCCCCTTTCCGCTGAAAGTCCAATTTCAATTTGTCCAGGATCAGAATCCAAAAACGAATAGCAGGATAAGTGGCTGTCAGTAGGGCAGGAGCTAGCCCATGCCTGAGTTTGAGAAGAGCTACCATTTCAACCGGAACTCCGAGCGCGATTGGCCTGAGCTCCTCCAATACCCGTCTTAGGGCTATAACTGAGTACGCGTCTACAGCTGGTTAAACTTCAAGTGATAAAAAACACCGACATCTGCAATGATGAACTGTTCCAGTTCGGCTTGGCGGGGGCTATCGAATGACAGCTCGCTAAGCTTTAAAGGGTTAACTTTGTGGCTACCCGTGAAATCTTGTAACCAAAGTGGCTCATTTTCACCATTTTGCACCTTCACAAGAGTTTACACGTCTCGCCAAAATATTTCCTGTCAGTTGATATGACATCAAAGGTTACAAGCGAAATTTGCAAATGCGCGCTCCCAACCCGCGAGTCAGGACCGTATTTCTTCTCACTAAGGCTACGTATACAACGCCAGGGATTATGAGTTCATGGATTTCACTAAGCAATTCTTCTCAATAATCCTTGAAATAATTGAAAATTTGGAGAGCTGTTCTATAAAACTCGTTTGAGTCTAAACCCGGCTAAGGAATTTGCCACGAGCGCTTAGTGGAGACGAAGAACGAAGGCGGTAGCGATGTAGTGAGCGGCCTAACACTTTGTAGAGGATCAATATTGATCAAGAATGAGTGCGAGAAAATGCAGACTAATTGGTGGCCAGTTGTGTTCGGCGCTAACTGTTTTGTGAATCATTTCGTGTATAAACGCCACGCACATTAAGCTTCAATTTCTGAGTTCCGCTACTGATTGACATAAGGACCTGGAAATGATGGGAGAGTCTTATTCAAAGTAGCAAATCAATGTCTAATCCCTAAGACTCACAGGATGTGTGGGTAGTGAAACTAGACCGTACACGGTAAGACCTCTGGTTATCCCAGGCGTGCTTTCTTTCTGAGATTTTCTTGTACGGAACTATACAGTGTGGTAACGTACCGTTCGACATCACACTAACTCACTGGACGCCACTATGTGGTGAGTTGTGAAAGGTTTAAACAGTTCTGGTGAAGCTTTAGAGGAAGTGAGAAAATGCCAGAATAAAGTCGTTCTTGTACCAGTCGTGCTCAAAAAAGTTAAAAAATACTCGAAGCCAAAAAGGGGGTCTACAGCAAACTTAAGTATCTACGAGCTGTGTTTAACAGTGTGTTTTCAGAAGCAGCAAGTGAAATAGTTTCACAAGCCGGTTCCATAGTGTGAAAAAAGCAAAAGGCAGTAAGTAGAAAGCTTTTTTACTAGGGCACGTTATGCCGTAGATTCCCTGCATTGGAGTTTGGTCGTATTTTGGAGACCCTATCGTCGTAGACGGCGTACCCTGTGTCGCATTTTCAGTATCCGTGCTGTCCTCTGGGCCAGCCTCATTCTCATTATGGACAACAGTCAGGCGCATTGGGGGGGACGTTGAGCCTGATCAATGAGGCTCTTCGACAGATACACCAAATGGTCCAAAAGCGCCACGGTGAACTGATTATACAGGTCAGTGTTCCGATCCTCACCGACAAATCTGGACCAAATTCACCGTGTCCAGGGAGGGTAGAAGGGTTTAGTTCCGAATGGGTGAAGCCGCATCGGGAACTTGATCCCGTGACCAGGTGATAAGCGTGCTACTTGTCACTATACCGACCATCGCCCCTTCTTAGGTCGCATAAAAGTTGAAAACATGTGGGGTAGAGAAATGCCCAAAGGATAACTGGGCACCAATGGTGGCCTATAGCGAGAAAAAAGATCGGTGAAAAGCAGGAACAAATGATAACAATAAAGCAATAAGCTTGCTATGCTTACTATGTAGTAAAAGGCAACCACAATAAGTAAAAATAATAAGTCTCTCACGCTTGCCTTGCTTACCCTAAATCGGAAAAAGCAGATTTGCAGACAGGTTAACTAGGTGAAAGCCGTCGAAGATGAAGAATGGTTCCAAGACCCCATCCATCCAGTACCGTAACCCCCCTGAATAAAAAAATTCTGGAAGAAACGTTTCACAATAGAAACAATGGGTAGGAACGGCCAAGTAACTAGACGTTGAGGTGATTCGCAGTAATTACTCCGACCTCCGCTGTGGAGACAATGGACTCAGCAAGGGGGCGTTGTATGCCTCAGTGGGAGCGGGAGTGAAGGTGGTGGCACTAATTGACATTCTCGCACCTATTCCCAGGGAAGATCTCACACATCCGATTGCATACCTTCAGTAATGACACCGGCCACGGAGCACCGACTAGGGCGCTGACATCGCTGATAGTGACTGGTGATGATAGACAGGTGACCAAAGTGGAGCACGAACTCATTACATTTGTTTATTTATTCTATGTACATGCAGGTGCGCCACCAGACTTTTTTAGCCCCATTAAGGCCAAGTAACAGCACAGGTGTGTACCATGTTGAACCACTGCGGGGAATGGGAAGTCTTCTAGCAAAAACGAGTGGGAGACTGCCCATTTTTCGTGAGCCCTGGACGTCCTGCGCACTATGGAGCCTCTCCCGAGATATCAAGGACTGCGGACCACCCCCCTCCTCTCCCGCTCCACGAAATCAAGCCCCTTAGGCGGGCGACGGTGGAAAGATTTCCACTATATACAGTTCGAGCATATGTTTTGGCCTGAACTCGGGCTTTCATGGGTCAAAATGTGGCGGGACCAATGTCTACCGCAGAATTCAAGACGATGTAGCAGGCGTTCTTCAAGTAGGGCATGTCCTGAAGTTGAGAAGAACTCTTGCAAGATAAGACTCTTCCCTCAAGGGTCCCCTCAGGTACGACCCCCTTCCACGCAACGGACCGATCATCTTGCCGTACTTTCAAAAAAATTTGTCGTCGGGCACAGCCGGCCAGTCCACTACTTCCTCTGATGGATGGTGGTCGGCACAGCGGAAAGGTGAACTGTAGAGAAGGTGAATTGGGAAATATATAGCACGCTTGAAACGGGAATAATCTTGATTAAAATCCCCAAAAAATTTTCCCCCAAAAAAATTCCCAAATACCTATTCCTTTGCCTTCAGCGACCAACTACGACCCTCGCTGGTGATTCCTCAGCGTACACTCTGTAATTATAAACATACAAATGGAGCATTGACTCCTCACCCCCCCCCTCCCCGGTCAGCACTGGTCCCCTGCCCTGATTAAGAGTGTTGTCTAGCGTAGATGAGCTGAGAAGGTGTAGTGACAAAAGGAGAGCAGACCATGAGTGCGATGGAGGGATCATGTCTATGAGCGGCCCAAGCTCAGGCCAAGCAAGCCTTGCACCCCTTCAGAGCCATCTAAGTGGTGCAGGAGTTGTTTGATAGGATTAGCACATCGGCTGGCTCCCGCACAGGTCAACTCGCCCTCAGACGGCACTACGATTCCGATTGGAAGTAGATTGGGTGGCAGGAAGGGCCTGCTCTACGACAAGCGCCTCATCCCCTTCCAGTTACAGACCCTCTCGCGACGGTGCGTTTTGGGAGCTCAAGGAAAAGAGCTACATGTGATTTTAGGCTATTCCGCGCGTTACCTTGTTCTGAGCTCCAGGGGACAGCGAAGCTCAGTGACCTTTCCGAAAATGACGAGAAGAAGCTTCCTTTCTCACTGACTTCCTTATAACGTTTGTTCTCCTTTGTTACTGTAACTGAGAGACAACCTTACCCACCTACGTACTTCCAGCCACCAACAGAGGCTGTAAACTAACTACAGGGCGTATTAGATCAATCTCGGGTGTAGAATTTGAGAAAGACTATTGCGTGTAAGCAAAAGCTTTCGATTTCGAGTGGTGCTTGACGCCCGTTCAAGCTGCACGCAGCGTCACAAAGCAAGCACGGAGCGCAATTAGCCGATAATAACTTTGCGTGGCTTATAGTTAGGCCCGTGGACACGTAATTGGGCGCGCTACGAATTTTGTACCCATTCGTCGCACAACAGTCAACACGAAAAGAGAACAGGCAAGGGCTAGCCTCTGCAAGAGCCTCATCTGACGTCTTGAGAGCGCGGCTCGCATGAAAAGGAAAACATTCAAGTGGAAACCTATTTGTAAAATCCCTAGGGAGTAGTTAGGTTTTGATGAGGAGAGGGGGGGGGCATTCTCTGCTTCCCATTGTCGCGATCATGCTTTACAAAAGTTGACAGATATTCTTTACAAGAGTTGACAAGTAGTCTCTACAAACTTTGGGCTGTATCTACTCAATGGCTTCAGAAGATCTTCACAGATCTTACTTGATGGATGGGAATAAAGCAAACCAGTGCAAAAGTCCTCCCCCCCCGTCCCCAACCGTACTGCGGTTCGATGTGATGCCTATGGACACTATTTGCACTTTACTGCCCCCACCTCTAAGAACTGAGCAGGGTTTTTGAACACGAATTTTCTCCGTG